TCAGGTCCTGCCACTCAACCAGGTTATTGAACCAATACAACAGTTCAAATACTGATTGCTTCCGTGATATTAAGATTTTCAGTTTTGTGGTATTCGTTCGACTGGCATTTTAAAAGCACGTTTTCACGCCTGGCTGACTGCTGTTGGATAGAGAGTGTTTACGTATGCCACAATGTGTCTACTGCTCTGTTCCCTCTGCCTTTGTGAAGCTCTGTGACACAATCTGTCTCTTTTGCTCAGTGCAATCCCCAATACGTGAAAACCTCTCAACTCACTCTCTAGTCCTCGTGTATACAAGGGAACCAGCCAGCAGAATTGCTTACTGTCCCTCTGTGAGTCATTCTTCCAGATGTACATGTTGAGTACTGTTCTTCATAAATCCAGGAATGGCAGTTTGAGCCACATCGGGTATTAAGAACTACGAGCGCTCCTATGAATTTTACTGATACAAAGGAAAAGCAACGTGAAATTCTCTCTGCTCCCAGAGAGGTTAGGAGAAAGTGCCTGCTCAGAATCAGGAAAGAAGAGTCTGTACAATTACTACTGTTGACTTTTTTAATTCGCAAGAAATTTCCATGGGACTTCTTAATCTCCCCTCTGTCCCAGAGGTGACAGCAGCAATATCTGGGATAAATTAAATAAGAACAACCTGGCAGTTTTCATTGTCGGTGCTTAAAGCTCTAATTATTATAGGTTGAGGGCTTATGTGTTCCTTTATTGAGGGGCCTGGTACCAAATTCATATTTAGAGCTAATTCACTCACGTCGAAGCAACAGTTGTGATTTGTTTTCCGTGTTCAATCCGCTCGTTATTGTTTCACTTCCCAATTACGTCATCGCTAGAAACCATTTATGTGAAAGCTGAGCCTCGGATAATTTTGTTGCCTTTCAGGAATTCCCAGAGGTCATTCCAGGTCACAAATGGACATTAAGCAGAGTGACATTCAATAATGAGCCCAGTGTAATGTTTTTTCATGTTCGGCTGCTGCTTCTGGTCTCTACTGACTTGTTTTCAGTTCAGACAGAGTCTCTGTTTTTTGTGCGGTAAGCATGGGTAGTGTTTTCCCAGCATGCCTTTAAGGACAACCCGTTTCACCTGGAGGGCGCAAGAAATTGGTCCTTGTTGAAGGTATAACTACTCTTGTGTTCAGTCAGTTCTAAATGACTTCTTCAAGGGCTCCCTGGAGTACCCCTGTGACATCAGAATATTGAGCTATGCGGAGTAAGGCTGAATGAATGAAAATAATTGTGCATGAATAATCATTAAAATGAACATGGGCATTGCCGAAATAGCTATAGTACATCTTCGAAGAAGAACATGCATAAAATACTAGAACATTAACACAGGGCAACAAAAATATATTTTAAAGTGTTTTTCTGCATACTACATTTCCCGCCTGTTAATATATCTTTTAAACCATAATTAACTATCATTAAGCCTTTGTACAGTCTATCTAACAAGGAAAGGAGGTGACATTTTTGTAGTATAGCTTGAACAACATGGCTCCTAATGTTCAATACTCTTTGCTGCTTTGTTCCGATGGAGATTTAAGTCCTTAAAACAGGAATAGTCAGAAATATGCCTAAAGACTTCCTTGTACTAATCCAATGAAACAAATATACAAAAGGAGAGAAAAAAACTGGCAAAGGGCACAAATAAATCAAAATATAAAAAGTGAATTCAAACAACCACAATTATTGTAGTCACACCTGAATCTTTGTTAGAGTCATAATCTGACTTAACAGGGTCACCGTTTTGTTATTAAACCCGACTTCAGTCATTCAAATTCATTGGAAAAAATAGCAATAATAGCAAGAGAGAGCTAACTCATAACATATTTGGATTTTGTTTTATGAAGTTGCTCTAGTTGAGTAAGGTCAGACCTTTATTTGTCTGGTTCCAAACAACTGGCTTGCTTTTGTCGAAGAGAAAAGTTTGGGTCAGACCATGATTTGTGCAATTGCTCCTAATTAATCAATATTATTAGTATTTGTTTCCTATCCTGTTCAAATTGTTGGACAACTCTTGCATCTCTGCACTTGTGAAGGCAACAGAGATGCTGTCTCGGATGAAACAGTTGCTCGTTCTTGTTAATTTGGTGGCATCATGCCTGTGGGCATCTGGACTGCGCCATCTGTGATAATTATCTGTGTGGAATTCACCTGATGCAGAATGAAGGCTTTTCCTCAAAATGCCTTGTTAAACCGTTCTAGGGATCGTTGCACTTAGTTTAGCTATGGCTTGACTATGAAATGCAGAATCTTTCTATTTACAATGCTGAGGATGTGGCTACAACACCACGATTAGAGAGCTTTAAAGAGTGGGACATGAACTGTCTGTGGGGTGTACCTCCTGAGACTGAGACCGGCCACGCTGCTAAATTTTAATGAGAGTCTGGCTTAAATCTTGTATTACCTCTCTAGAGATTTAGGAACAGAAGAAACAGGAGCCATCAGTATGTTTGTGTGTCCATTAACACTATGCCCCTGGCCCCCTGGTTTCTAAGGCGAATTAGGATTTGGCTAGGGGAATATACTGAGATGTCTGAGGCTGCAGCCTTCTGGGTCAATTTAAACCTGTGCTTTCTCACACATTAGCCCAGAAAGACATCTTTACATGACAGAAACAGACAAGTCTCATGTTTCACAGCTGTAGGCCTGTAAGGGAGGGGAGTGAAGCATAGTGCTTCATCTCAGCAAAGTACCGTGACGGGAAAAAGTCAGAATAAGTCGATATTCTCTCAAAGTTTGTCTAGAAAAAAGCCGTAATGAAGGTGCACCCTCAAAAAGTGAAAATGTTCAGGGTAAAAGTAATTTTTCTTTGAATCTGGCAAAACAGTGAAGCAAACATATCTAGCTTGAGTGAAATTAATTACTTTTAGCCTAAAAAGATTAATTTGGATTCATCACTGTCTTGTTTTCTTCTGTAACCACACGATAGGTTTAGCACTGGCACAGATTTCATATATTTATAACCGTCTGTTGAAAATATGTTGAGTGTGTTTCTATGGAAGAAGTGTTCTTCCTGTAACACATAGCACAGGGAGGTGATGGATATTGTGTGCATCGTTTGTCTCCTCCCGTTACGATAGTTTTCAACGTGCTGTATCAATGATGCATTTAAACGGACATTTAGGATACGCTGAATAATTTGAACAGGAATAAAAAGGCTGGAGCTAGTACACAGAAGGAACATGCAAGAATCACTGACCCTGTGGATTTCATTCAGTTTCATGAGATTGTTAAAAAATGTCAAGCAGCTCAAAAATAAAATAATAAAAAAAAATATTTATTCACAGGTTGATGCAAAGCTACTGATTGACACATACGGTATGAGATTCAGGAGTCCTTTTCCCTGTCATTGGACAGATATGAGCTATCCTCACCCAATGCTTGAGGTAGGAGAAATCCTTATCCCACAGAAAGGCAACAAGGGAGGCTTTTGGGATGCTTTCTGGCACTCTTCTGGCACGGCAAGAGTATTAATCTTTCTAGCGTACTTCTGCTAGGAGCTCTGATTAAAGCAGTCAAGACTGTCTTGGTTCTGCACCAAATCATTTTGGGGGCAGTTAAGCCAAGCACTGTGCCTTTGATGGTTGTTCTTGCTAAATTCCTACCCCGACACTGTTCTGCTTGCTCTGAGATTCAGTACTCACCTCCCTGCCATGGCGCTGTTGAGTGCTCTATTGGAGTGCAAGTCGGTGACTGCCTTCCCCATTGATCTCCCATTCATAGAGGCGCATTTGTAACACAAAACCCCTCTGAACGCAGCTTGTCTGTGTGTCAGCGACTCTGCCTGGCCTGGCCTGGCCTGGCTCTGTCACAGTGAGGATGGTGTAACAGTACATCTCTTGCCCTGAACATGGGACACAGTTTTGCGCAAACATCAAAGTACCTTCTGCACGCCAGAAGATGGCAGCCAGCGAACAGGCATTTGCCTCTGTGCTCTAAAGGTGAACATTCTGTCCACGTTTCCCAAGAATATCAATACTGAAAGGAAATGCCGTGGCAAAGGGTAAAAACATAGTGCTACGAGATCACAGAAATGAGAGACAGTGGCAGACCATACCTTTCACCCATAAGGTTCGCAGTCTTATCTCCGCTGTGCTGCGCTCTTCGTCGCTCACGGGATTTTACAAAACTATTTGCGGGTTGTCATTGTAAGATTTTTTTTTAAAAAAAAGGAGAAAAACGAAAAGAGAGTAAAATAGCCTGAAATACACCAATTTAAAAAATATGCCAGGCGAGATGATTTTGTGTGTGTTTGAGTGGCCAGCAACAGGAAATAGCACGTGATGTGCTGCTGATGTTGTATTAAATTACCAAGGCTGTGGAGGGCTGTCTAGAAGGGTGATTTTTTTCATGTGAGTCAATTTGTGTTCATTTGAAATGTACCGCAGACAGAACTAAATAAGAAACAAATGCAGCATCGCACCCCACCCCACCAGCACCATCACCATCAGTGGAACCCCCCCAAAGGTGTCTTACAGAGAACCCCTAAAATAAATTATAAATTCAGCAGTCAATAATGGGCACTCTGTGCAATAACGATATGATTCTGAACCCCCTGGCACCCTGGACCCATGCTGTAGAGATCTCTGTTGAAACGGTATCAGGATAGGATGAGGCCAGAGGAGAAAATGCAATGGTTCACAACAATCAGAGCGTTTTAGGACGTTCTGATGAAAAACATTTGCAGTTAAAAGGAAGTCGACCATATCCAGTGTTGCATATTCTTTTTTAGGAGGTCAGTCTCTCCATCTGTTTTCTAACTGATTCTTCCAATTCAGGGTCATGGGGGTGTCAGAGCCTAAAGGTCAGTCACTCTTCATGCATAAAGTCTAAATTTGCCTGGCGTCTTCACCTCCAGGTGGCATTTCTGCAAACCTGCCTGCGTGGCCCAGTAATTTGAGCTCCTTTTTTTTTGTATTTGGTGCTTTCTGTCAAATAGAAATTGGCCCCGTTCAATTATTAACGCTAATGACTCTGCTTCCTCTGCAGTTAAATGGAAGAGCAAGAAACAAATACATCCCCGTCGCGCAAATCCAGCCGTGTTGAGCAGATTGTGGGCCGATGGCTGAGACGCTCAAGAGACACTGTCAGCCGGTAAGGATGCAGTCATTTATTTTGGACTGTGTAGGTCTGCAGCGAAAGTGCATTTGCCTCAGGGCTATCTTTCTCTCCACCCAAGAACATGAACCAAAAAGCTTGGGTCAAAGCTGACCTGTGCAAAAAAGGAGAGCACGTGGAACAGGGCTCAATGCCCGGAGCGAGTTATAGAAGTGATGTCACCTGCCTCTGAAATCCGGTCAGTGTTTGAGCTCTGACTGTGGTAGAGGACCTGGGCTTTTGGCCCAGTGGAGTTATCTGCTGCCTAGGGAAGATCACCATGTGTGTGCAGAGCCTGTGAGCAGCTGGGGTTGAATCCTGGCCAGGACAGAGAGAGCTGCACCCTAACTGCTCCCGTCAGGACAGCTGGGTAACCTTGATCTGAGTCTGAATGCAGGATAAACGCTCATCAAAGTTCCCATGAACCATCAAAGTGTCAGATGGTCTTTCATCAGGCTGGTCAGACATATACCCCATGCTGGCAGTGCCACGTGCTTGATGATATTGTAATTGGGGCCAACCTGTGTTCAATCACTGTGCAATTTGCAAGGTCTGAATTTGCATGTTTCGGCGTGCAGCTTTGTGATCACCACACATGTCTTCCTTTCTTCCCAATGAAAAGGTGTCGTTAAGCACTGGGTTTTTAATTACTGTAGCTATGAATGGGGGGAGTCCAGTGTTTGATTACATCCCAGAATTTTTATTCACGTAATAATATATTTTTGTAGCACACTGTTTGATCTATGCGAGTGAAAGGTTTTATTCTGAATTTAGTTCAACTCTGTACAGTACAGTGCTGAGAACAAGAGATGGATATCTGTTATAAAGAATGTTTTCAGAGCATACTGTATGTGTTAAATCAGAGCAAGTGGATTGGAGGGATAAACTTGTCAACATACTATTTCATTATGTATGGCAATCTTAATGTTGGGTTCTAAATACATATACAACAGTCTCTCCCCTAAACATGACATTTATGGTAACACAAGAGACTGACCAGGGCTGTACTAAAATCTTTTGAGATCAATTGCATGTGTATATGTTTTTTTAAATGTTTTTTTTTTAATCTTCACTAAGCTGTGCTGTGACTTTTTGTATCCTTACAGCACATTCATAGGTTTTACAAAGAATGACTAATGTAACAAGTCATTATATAGCTTTATTCATCGAACTAGAAGCCATTGCAGTGCACTTCGTTTTGTGAAGTGTCACCCAGTCAATTCCACAGTGACGAGGTTGTGTCATAGCTCAGATGTCCGGCACGCTTGGATGTCAGCATAGCTTTTGAAAGTGTTTGAGAGAATGCCGGGGCCTGGATTAGTTAGGAGAGAGAAAAAAGTGTCGGGAGAAGGTTGCGAAATATCGCACAATTCACAGAGGAACACAGTCACCCGTTGAGGGCTGTGGAGAGATGATTTTTTAGGCTGCAGTAATAGAAATGAGTGATCCAGCATGTAATGAGCTGGTTCATGCTCACATGGGGTTATTTGCCAGAAAACAAAGGACTGTCGAGGTTGCTAAAATCTGTATATTCCTGATTGTTTTTAATTACCATGTCTAGCATCCATTTTTATGGCATTACACCGTAATAATACAAAAAAAAGGATGAGAATGCTTAATTAAATTACTTTATTCAAACTGATTTTTTCTTGTTTTTAATACATTTAAATTTCTGGCTCTAAATATTTTTTTCTTGTAATTTACTATGCACCATTTAATTCTTTTCTGGTTCCTGTTTTATCTTTTTATGAAGGGCTTTCTTTCTCCTTAAATTTTATTGATTTACTTCATTACAGTATTTGAGTCAGTGCTTTCTAGTATTTGATACATTTCCTTTTTGCAATTAATGTTTCAAGCTGAATATTTTTGAATGCATACTGTACCATTCATTATCTACTGATCTGTCCTATCCTGTCTGCTTCCTTTTAATTGTAAGGAAATTTGTTTTGTTCTGGGTACTACTATTATCATTTCAAAATAGACTTCAAAGTCATGGTAATCTCACCTCTAGTTTCCTTACTAGACTAAGATACTATATCTAGATGCATAAGACTACATCTAATGTAAAAAACGCAGGCATTCCTTCTAGTTGGTGCTTTGACAAACTTAATATATTTCAGTTTCAGCTGCTGATATCCCTGAACTATGTGAGGAAAATTATTATCTCCCATAACAACCACTTCTTTCCCTTTTTTATATGCACATTCTGGATTTAATTATAATAAACTGCATTGCACAGTAACAGGTATCTGAATTTGCTTTTCTATAGCATCCCCCTAACATTATGTGTTTTCAATATTTTTAAAAGTCTGACCCATATCTGTTGTCTGAGACCCTAGATTCACTAAGCTTAAGTTCTGGTGCCTGAGTGCTCACTTTGATTTGAATTGCTAGACCTCTACCTGATTCATCTTTTCTGTTTCTTTGGAATGCTATAAATTCAAAAATCTCTCTTTTTATACTTCAAGCTTTTAGGTATTTAAGTACAAATTGTCCTTAATTACCTGATCCTTTTGACGGTTCTCCCTATGCTGTAGCAGTAATAGGCAGTTGTTGTGTTGTTCCTGTTTTCAATATCACACTGCTCTTAAAAAGTGTCCATCTTACTTTCTTTGTTGTTTTAGGAGGACAACAAAAAGACATTCTTGTGATAAATTTTGTATTAAAAATGAGAACATTTTCAATCCTTTCATGTAATAGAGGGAATGTGTTTAGCTGCCGTTCTTTGAGCATTATGTAAGAGATTAAAGCCCTGAGATTAAAGACAACAGGTCTCCTGGTGCTCACACTTGTAATGAAGGCATTTAGGAACCGGTGATGACATCATATGACAAAGGGCACAGCTCTAGGTTGTGGGAAGTCATTGCTTTTCATCTCACACTTCACTGCTCATTGGCTTCTCTTCTAAAGCCTGAGGTAAGTGGTGTCAAGAAGGAGGAGCACAAAAACTGCAGAAACAAAGCATCCTCTTTTCAGGGCTTCTGTGCTCAGAATGCCTGGAATGTGGCACATATTTTCTAACAGACGTAGTCTTCCTTTCTTCTAACAAATGGCAACAGACCAAGTGTGTAGCTGATCAATGGAAAATATTTGTGGGAAAAAACAAACCATACGCCTTTCTGGTGACGCAGAGCTAGCTCTCCAGTTTCCTCTATTCAGACTGCTGGTTAGGTTGATCATTATGGTTCAGAAATGGAACATGCCACTAACTGAATAATATGGGGTGCTCCCAAGAGCTTGGCTCCCGAGAGATTGTTGTGTTCCTAGGTCACAAACATCTTGGGAAGCCTGCGTTAACTTCCTGCCATGATTGGTCTGCTGGATTCAACTCGAATGTTGCTTTTGTGAGCCCAACACCTTGGCCTAATACCTGACTTGATACGTCCATATCTGATAGGGCGTCACCTCCAACAACATAACTGGGTAGCTTGTGCCATACTTTGTACACAAAGTGTTGTGGGGGTGTGGAACAACCAATCCAGCCATGTTGTTAAAGCCCATATCCTGGCTTCTTTCAAGAAACATTTGGATGTGATACCTGGATCAAATAACTACTAACTACCAAATGGGTTAGATGTGCCGAATGGCCTCCTCTTGTTTGTAACGATTCTGAAGTTCTTGCGTCTGCTCCGTTTCCAGGGAGAGAACATCAGGTGACGGCTCATCAAGCTCCAGAAGCAACAGTCAGCCGAATTTTCCCCTGAGAATTACGTTAGATATCCACCAGGACGTGCTGCTGGGCCAGTATGGCTTTGAGATTTCATCACAGCCTCCCTTCATTGTGAAAGAGGTGACTGCAGGTAACTTCCACTTCCTGCTCTATGGTAGCACAGCTTCCAAAAGGTTTTGCTGTAGTGTGCAGTTTTTTTCCTATTTCGGGTATAAAGGTCAACCATTAATGAAAGAAAATGAAAAGTCTTAGAACATAGATGCACTTGCTTACCTTTGAACTTGTTTGACCCACTGACTTGGGATGTAATGTGAGCAGAAAGCTCTGAAAGCCCACCCACTTTTTACCAGCCGGACCCCTTTTGCGTGAAAAATTGCGGAATGATCTTTAATTAAAAAAAATGGATATCTCCCCGTTCCTGTGACTTTCTATTCGACCAGCTGTCTGTACCCACCTGTGCCTGAAAACTACACTTTAGTTGGGGAGGCGATTACTGTTGCACAGTGCCCTGAAGCCCATTGGTAAAGCACTGTGCACTGAGGCCTACATTCCATGGATTGGAAACTTCTCTTCATTGTCTCCACATCCGGCCTTTGAAGAAACAAATTTCGTTTTGCGTTTCGTTTGTGAACTGACCCATTATGTTAGCGTCTCACACAAAATGGTCAACCGAGTACGAAACACGTTGTCACAGAAAATGGCAGCGACAAAACACAAAATTAATCATCACTTTAATTAACTAACGAGGCTAATGAGGGGGTGACTTAGAAAGTGTTAGTCACATCCCCCAAGGAGATCCCTGCCAGTGCAGCGTCTCCTGTCCTTTATAGGAATGGATGTCCCATGAATATACCCTCTGAAGATGCCTTAATGCTTACAAGCTGCATTTTAAGACTTTGCTTGTCTATGTCTTAGTGAATGCTGTTCTGTGTTTTGTGTGTGTACACGTGACTACCATGAAGAAAGTCTCTAGATTGTGATATTGGACTATCAAGAGCAGCAGTAGGAACAATAGTGTTTCAAGATGATTGCTGAGCTGATGGGGTTCTATGGAGGCCCAGTGTATTTTAAAGCACTATACAAAAATTAGGAGACAGGAGATACAAGACCGGCAATGAAGCCACAGCTTCTAAAAGTCCATCAGAAAACTGGTTTTAGACGTGCTTTACAGTAATGGATTTTTAAGCACAGATCAGCTCTATTGAAAAAAGTGCATTCATGCTCTTAGTCTCTTGACTCTGTCAGCGCTGAAAGACGTCCTCAGGATTATTACAATCCTGTTTATCGCCTCCAACAATTCTTTCTTGTAATCCCACCTGACCAGTGTTCTTGATTTGCCTTTCTCTGGCTGTGTTAATAATTAAACCTCCATGATCACCAAACTCTAATGCACACCAACTTATTTGAAGGCCATTAATAACTTTATTACCCCATAATTGAACGCAGAATTAATCACTGTTTCTGGAGAGTGAAGGAGCTGAGTTCAGATGTTATCTTAGTAATTAAAGAAAATAATGGAGAGCATCATACGTCTGCTGTCATTTACATTACATTTTGTCTGGAGCTGTGTGTAGATTTCATTCTGCAGTTCCAGTTTCAACATACCTTTATGCTCAGTGGCTACTTATCAAGTACTCTTTTGCCTCTCGGATCCACTGACGGAGAATTCTCAGCCTGGCTAGTTGGGTCTGTCCCCATGATTTTTCATGCTGTGGTGCCCCTGGCCGCTCTGGTCCTGTGTCAGCCATAACAGTCCCCGTTTGGGGTAGGTGTGCTAAGGACCCCAAATCGTCCCCTGAACGCTCCTCGTTGTGGATGGGACCATCCTTCACTAAAGCAAGTATGGAACTCACACAGAGCTTCAGCTCCTGGTCTCCACCTGAGGTGAGGGCTGCGTTGCAAGAAGAGGTCTCCTCAGAGATTAAACTGTCCGGAGTGGAACGAGGATAATGGAGGGGCACATCCAGAGTTTCTGGGTGCTCATCATTCTGGATGGGACTGTCCTTCACTAAAGTAAGTATGGAACTTGCACAGAGCTTCAGCTCCTGGTCTCCACCTGAGGTGTGGGCTGTGTTGCAAGCAGAGGTCTCCTCAGAGATTAAACTTCCCGGAGTGGAACGAGGATGACTGAGGGACACATCCAGAGTTGTCAGGGTGAGGGGCAGCACATTTTCTGCCTGAAACTGGGTAAAAGAAAATGCTGGAGCTGGATAACTCACAGTGGGTAATGTACTCTCATGCTTTGCTAGGTCTGCTGGATTATTCTCAATCATCTGCCCCTGCAAAGTGGCTTCAGGGCTCTCAGCTTCACCCTGCGGTCGGACTTGTGCAGTGCTGTCTGCCTTTGTGTACAAGAGCTGCTGTAGCTCGTCGGAGGAAGCCCAGGGGTTTGTCTTGATGGTAGACCGAGCAGAATCCGATTCCCGAGAGAACCTTAAGGGCTGGTAAAAGCCAAAATCAGGTGGTGAAGAGGCAGATCTCCTTCTGTTTGCATCTGATAGGATGGTGGTCCTCCCATTTGACTTTGCATCCACTTCCACGGGGGAGCACTGGGAGTCTGGTTGCAGAGGAGCGCTCTTATTCTTCTTCTTCCCAGTCGGACGTGAAGCCCTTCTGCGCTGGAAGTGAACGTAGTACCAGACCGTCACAAAGGCACAGGCTCCTACAGCCAGTCCCACTGCCAAGAAACGAGGTTTCAGAGGAAACATGGGAGCTGACATGTTGACCCGTGCCTTAGACGTTGGGCCCAAGCCACAACGTATCCATAGCACAATCTTGTGATAATTTTGCTGGAGTTCAGATTGGAAAAGGGAGTCTTCCACCAGGACATTTTCAAAACCGGAGACAGCCCTCATAATAGCCCATAAAAGCCCAGGAAGATCAACCCACAGAAACCCAACAGCCCTTCCTGGTCGTTGTTCATTCTGGACTCATGGAAACACATTGGTTTGCCTAGTCACTAGGCAAGAACAGATGAAGTAGTCATAATGGAAGTGTGATGTCATAAAGGATGTGTTTTTTTTTTTACAAAAGGTGACAGTACTCATCATTTTTGATTAAAGAGACTGTGGTGAAATCAAGAATAAAATGGATTTTATAAACAAAACCAAAATGTTTTCTAATGTTATCACACATATTTTAGAAAACACACCAGTCCGGTAGAAAAACAGCACTCTTAATCTTAAGAACATAAAGAAAGGTTATGAATGAGAGGAGGACATTTAGCCCATCTTAACCATTTGCTAGTTAGTAGCTAATGGACCCTAGGATCACTGTTACAGTATTAGGATTCTTTTTTGTTTACCTGTTACTAATATTCCAAATGGCTGCTTAAATATTTTTAATTTGAAGTAGCCTGATGGAGCATCCTGAATATTTGTTTGGTTATTCGAATTGACCTTAGAGTTTCATCTTTGACCTAGTAGTTTTTCTTTATTCCATGAATGCTGAATTTGCTTGCAAAAGCATTTATAAATACAGGCACTGGGCATTTGAGCAATATCTACTGTGTGCAAAACCCTAGGTCCTGAAATATAACCTATCCTCCAGGACTTGTTTTTAAAAGAACAGATTAAGATTGATTGATAAAAACTTTGCTTTGTTCACAAAATCAAATCGAAGGCATCAACTGCACAGACACAGTACTCATGGAACAGCTTTCTCTGAGAAAACGGAGATTTAAGTTGCATAAGAAAGGATCATTTGATTATTATTTGACACCTCTTGGAGAGTTGGGACTACCATTTGCACAGAAAAGGCCATCTCTGTGATAGAAATTACTCATTTCTTAGACTGAGCTCTGTGGGAAGATTATTGTAAGGAATTCCCCCTCACAGATGCACAGTAGTAATTTCCCAGTCCTCCCCATCAGAAGAGGAGGAAAGGTAAGATTCTCTCCTTGCCCTGCTGCTGAGACACTGGCCCTGCAGGGTCCCCTGGGTAACCGCTGTGAGCTTCCTCTCTGTGCAGGAGGGCCTACTGACGGACGCCTTCTTCCTGGGGACCAGATCCTGAAGCTGAACGGCATCCTGGTAGAGGACGTGTCTGGCCAACGGGCAGCCGAAATCATCAGGTAACAAGCAGCCGGGCATTTGTTTCTATTGCAGGAGGATCAAGGGATATAATTACTGGCACGCTGCATTTGAAACTGGCCATCTTCACTACCTTTGTGGTGGGTTGAAGGACCTTTCAGGGAATGTAGAAGGTATCACTGACGAAAAAACTTTCAGAATGCTCAATAAAAGTAGCTTTGTTGCAGATAAAAGGTGCCTAAGTAGTTATGCTTTTCTTATAGAAGCATCTGTTCTAGTTTAGTTATAATTTTCCCATATTAGTCTGCAGCATTTTATAATTAGCATGTGTGTTCTGGCTACCTAAATGAATGACACAGTGGGTATCAGGATGTAGGCTCTTGCATGCAGTTCCAGCTTGGGGTGGTTCCTGGGTGGAATTGGATTTTTTTTTCTTTTTTGCCAGTGTGGGATTTCTCTTGGTACTCTGGTTTCCTGCCAACTTCCAAAGAGATGCTCGTTAATCGACATTGCTAAATTCTAAGGGGAGAGAGTCACACAGCTGACCTCAGATTGGTTGGAATAAGATTCAGGTGGCCCAAAACGCAAAGTAAAAATGGTTGATCCTCCAGATATAACCTCTAGTATTGCAAGGCTTTATATATCCTTAGGTTTGTTTGTATTTATAAAGCTGTCATGAGAAGCAAATCATACATTTTGGAGCTTTTTCTGTAGTGAATTGCCCCCTCTCCTTTTTCAGGTTGAATTTTAATTTAAAAGATAGAAATAAAACCCGGAACAGCAGGACAAAAGAAAAACCAATGGCTTGTATAATCCAGTATACCTGCACCATTCCAGTAATGGGACAAGACTCAGAGTAAAGAAAAACAATCTGAAAATATAACACCTATAAAAAATGAGAACTGAACCTTCTTTTATCTTTTCTGCCACTTAAGACAGCTTTGTAAATTGCTAGGGCAGCAGTTGAAGACAGAAGAGTATATGCACTGCTATCAGGCTGAAGAAAACGTGTTTGATCAATTTCCGATCCATGTATACATGGAAAAAGCAATGTGATGTTTCTCCTCTTTCATCGGCATTCCTTGTACACATGTCCATGCTCTCCACTTCCAAGATCACCAATAATTTTTCCTATTGAAGCCAATTAAAAAACATCCCAGATGAGACAAAAGCCAATTAGATAATACTCTGAGAGAGGGAGACTTGTGTCATGTTACTTTTCTCACTGAAAGAGAAGAAGCCATTTCTCCTCAATTAGTCCTTAATGGAATGATTGTGAGAAAAGAGTTATTTAAATGTGATTTTATTCCTTGGAAGATCCACAGGGATTTCAGGAGTGTTTTTTAGATTCTGATGTTTTTGTTGTTTGTGTGAGTAGCTGTCTAAACCAGACTCCAGAGCTCATACTTTGACCATTTGTTTTGAAATCAAACTAGTCATGCTCTGCAGCTCCTGATATACAGCATTGATATTACTAAATAATGAAAAATATTTTTTGAGATGAAAGCCATTTGTATTACAGTGAGAGAAAAGTGTTGAGAGACCATGTAGGTTTTGCAGTACAACAAGTGTTTCTGATTTCTGATTTCTGAGTTTGTAACTGGAAATGTCGTTTTCACATTGGATTTCACAGTTTCAATTGTTACTTGAATTGTGAAGTCTTCTGTATTCTTCATGTTTTCCAGAGAATCAAGGGACTCTTTGACAGTCACTGTTCTCAGATATACAACAGTAAGTAGTCTCACTTGACACAATCCACTAGTCGCCAGGAGCTGAATGCACCAGTAGTCGCAAAGAGTTGGAAATGTCTGAGAAATGCCTTTTTATGTTGAGTGTTTGTCTCCTCCAGCATGACTCGCTGAAAAGAATGGACTTTGCCTTGAAGTGCGCACAGGGGAACAAAAACTGAAGTAAATTGCTGGGATAGATCTTCAGTCATCTCAGATTTTTATAATTTGAATCCCTAGTCCCCTGAGTAGCTAGACTAGTAACTGCTTTCAGGGCTCAGATCAGAGAGCCAAGAGGTCGCTGGTTTATTTTTGCCATCTTTCTGGACAAATTCGAAATCAACATGGGTATTCCCAGTTTTACAGCACAACAGCGACCTCCTCTGGCCAACTAGGCAACTGCATGCTATCAATGTCATCAATGAAAGCAGCACCAGTCTTCCAGCCTCATTAAGAACAATAATTTCGTTAGTCCAGGCTGCCATTTATGTGTGTGCATATGATTGTAATTATCAAGGGGCACAACATCCAACTCCAAAGAAGAAATGGATTTGAGAAACATTTATAGTAATCATTATCCATCCATTTTCAGCCCTGATGTCCTGATGTTGAACTTATAGCTTTATAATGGATGCCCCTCAGGCTTATTGAACATGTTCCTTCCAGCAAGTGGTATTTAAAGTGTCTTACTGAGTGAAGGTCACCAGTACTTATTGTGTACAGGTCTACACACTTCCAAGTTCATGAACTAATCTGACCCATTTTAGGACAACAATGTGGGCTCTTCAGTCCCCATCTCTTCTTGTCTTCAGAATCTGGGAAGGGTCATTTTCCTGGGGGAGAGGGTGGTTGCCCCTGCAGGGGAGCAGTGCTGTGCTGCGCACTGAGGCTGACGGTGTGTTTTGCAGGGCCCGAAGTCTTCCTTCATCACGGCGGAGAAGCGCGCGCGGCTGAAGACCAACCCTGTCAAGGTGCGCTTTGCTGAGGAGGTCGTGGTGAACGGCCATGCTCAGGTGAGCCTCTGCGCACCCCACGGTCTGCTTTTTCCCATGAGCCCCCCTGGGCTTGTGACACGTACAGTATGTGCAGAAACCCACTGCACGCTGCCTTCTCTGCTGGACATTTCTAACATCCTGTAAGAACTCTGCTACATAGGAAAAACACATGGGCACTGAGACTGAAGAGTTTCTCAGAACCACAAGTGATTGTGCTGTTGTCCTTCGTTTTTTGGCCTCTGTCCTCACTTGGTGTAACTGTGAAAACCGTGTACCTTCAGGGTGATATTATCCTAAGGCTCTTGTTTTGGATGAGTGAGTTACCTCCGTGGTGTTTATAGTAATAAAGATTTAGTTGTCTGGAGGAAGTAAAGAAAGCATCACTGGAGAATCATTTATTGTAGGAATAGCAACCTTGTGATTGCAGGCTTCATGGTGGTGTGACAGGTAGAGACTCTGCCTTAGAGCTCCAGGGCTCTGGGTTCACTTCCTATGGAACACCAATGTAAAGTTTGCATGTTCTCCTAACATTGCATTAGCTTTTTGTAAGGACCTCCAGTTTTCTCCTCCCTCCCAGGTGGGTTTGATCTCTGTGGCCCAGCGATGAACCAGAATCCCCACTAGAGAGAGTAATCCTATTCTCCAAGGTCCACAATATACTGTAGATTATTACATTATACATATTTCTGGGACAGACTGCATCTCCCTGTGACCCTCACCAGGATAAGCAGCTTACTGATAATGTGTGGATCATACCCGTTTCTGGTTTACAATCCACACCTGTTGAAAACAAGGAAGGAATATGGTGTCTGAACTTTCTATATCATCTCTTCCAATTACTGTGAAGCAGAAGTCTCCAAGCCTTGGATTGTTCTATCACAAATAGGGATGGTTAGGTAGGTTTAAGCCCTTTGAGACCCTACTGATGTTGAACTGTTGCAATTATCCTACATCTGGAACTGCGTGTTCAGACATTTGGTGTCAGTGTTTGGCTAAGGAGCCAATGGCACAAAACTATCATGTGTGCGATGTGAAGGGTTAGATACTGTATATCACCAGTGTCAGGACACAGTAGATGCTAAGAAGGATGAGAAATGAAGAATTGCTGGATCAGTACAACTAGTTGGGATACTTATGTATGCCACATTTACCAACCAAAAAGTGGTATTTAATCTTTTGTGCGCAGTTCAATTTCCTATGTGCGCTGATTTCATAACCTGTGCGCGCGTGCACACGCGCACAGTTTAGAGGGAACATTGGTTAGTACCCCTTTTTCATGGGATCTTGAATGGCTTCAGGCAGTCAGGAAACTGGGTAACAGCTGGTCATTCAACTTGCAGACAGATAAACCAGGTGGTGGGCCTACCTTGTCAGGTGTGGGGAGCTACATCAGGCACATCCTGGAACGGTGGACTTTTATACCCATTGCCCAGAGAGTAGGAGACAGTTCAGTAGCAGTACAGCTGGAATCCAGCATAGTCTGTCTTCTGTGGATGCTGAAAGAGGGACTGTGAAGACTTATTGATGTACCACACACTGAAACTATAACAAAGTGCTTTCATAGTACATCACTGCCATCAGAAGAGAATTTCATTGTCATGTAAATGAAATTTCTGTACTGTGAGACTGGGATATCTGTGGGGTATGCTGGAATTGAAGAGTGGTCTTCTCTGTCATAAATCAGCATTTTGTGTCTGCAGCGATGTTGTTTCTGCTGCAAAACAAAAATGCTTAGAAAGTGACTCTTCCCTTAAGTGAAAAGCTCTCTTCAAAGTGACGAGGCAGTTCCAATCACACCACTCAAACTAGGTGCCTACAGAAGCAGAAAGTACTGCAGACTGCCTGCAAGAAGGTTTCTTTTTCAACATGATAATGATCCTCAGGCTACTGCCAGAGTCCATTACTTAAATCACTGAGAACAGAGGTGGGTTTTGAAATTGATCTGCAGGTACAATTTTGACCTTAACCACATTTAATGTTATGGAATGAAGCTGACAAGCTACTTTATGCTCTGAAAGCTGATTAATGGATGAGGAAACTGAAATGACAGTATAGCAGTCCATTTGTGTACAGGTGAGAGGGCATATATGACAAAGTTAATAAAATGTTATATGAATCAATAGTTTCTTCTCCTTAGTAGGATTTCTGTATGCTGTGAAGGCATCCACATAGTTTAAACCATCATTCCCTACTAAAATTGATGATCCCTACTAATATATTGTCTATATATCAAAGCCATTTATCAAACCCCAGGAAAAAGAAATTGTACTGAACTTCGAACCTGTGAACACCTACACTCAGAAGTGATATAAACAAAAGTATTTGGCATTAATAATTGACTAAAACGTGTATAAAACTCAATTCAAAGCCTTAGCACTCAGAAATTATTTCATTTACACGAAACTCCTAAAATGTAGATTTCTGCCTCCTACACTTCGCTTGGAGTTCCTTCATAGAGATTTACCCATCATTGTCCATCTCCCTTTACCTATTCTCACATTGTTTCTCACATTCTCTTATCCGTCATAATCTTGCGCCAATCCTTCATTTTAACCCATCGCCTGTAGGAGGCGCCAAAGCCCTGACGCGTTTTTCCATTTTTCTACTTTACCCCGACCGTGAAATTACCCTTTGCTTGTTCCCTGGCAACTCGCACGCTGCTCTTGGCTCTAAACGTCGGCATATGCAGGAAAACACTTCTGGTGCGCACAGAGTTACACGGAGAAAAATCCTCTTGCGCGTCAGTAGTATTAAGATCCAGCTAGGCTGCGTTGTTAAACCATAAAAAGCCTGATTATGACACCTGGCTACCAGGGCCTTATAAAGTATCCGATAACGGCATATCATTCACTTGTCTGGCTGCGTGCAAGCTCACAGCAGGCGGCTGCACCACCGTGTCTGCCGCTGCTCAAGATGCCTTTAGATATTGAAGCAAAAGCACAGATGGACGGCAGGTGTCCCCGCGATTCCTTTGTCGAACCGGACCAACACGATCAAATACGTGATGAACTTGACGGCCCTTGCATCCGATCAGCACCAAGGCCAGAGACAAGTTCCAGGTCTTCCGACAACGTCAAAACTTTGGTAAACTTGTTTTAATCGATTAGCTGTATTTTTTTAAAAAATTAAACATAACATACATGTAAGCAACGTGTAGTTCATTTACTCGCGGCTCAGTTCTTCACCTTGATATGTGGTTAGATACTGAAACAACAACTGTTGCATTAATACAAAAAACATCCGGTGGGAAGCACCGTAATACAAGACTTCGTAGTATTAGATACCGTAGCTTATACCACATATACTGTATAACAGTTGGCAATTATTAGCCATCTTGATAGATTATTACTATTAATTTAATAAATCGTGTTTCCAGCCCAATAATGCTGGTCCCCACGACAAGAAGACTACTCATCATGTGTGACAGAGTCATCTGTTGTGCACCTAGACTGTGGAATATTCTGCCCTATGAAATCAGCAAACCTCTGTATTTGTCTATGTTCAAATATCACCTTCACTCTTCTTTAAACAGACATTCCTATGCAGGTTACAAGGTGTGTTTCAGATGTACAGTGCATTGAACAGCTTTTATAAATGTCTCTTTATCCAGTAAAGACTAAATTTTTCTAATTATATCTCACTTTTTGTGGAATTACTATAATTATCTCTGATTATTGGGCAATATTGTTAGTAATGATAAGCCAGTAGCAGATGTTTTGCAAACTGTTCTACAGAGCAGAGGGTATGTTCTTTACCTGTATGCAGCTGGCTCTGCTGTTATTCTCCATCTGCATGCTGTTAACTAAGCCTCATTGCTTGACAAACCACCTCTGCTCAGTTCTCAGGGCTCTAGGCAGTGATATACTTTTTATTTCCCATCCTTCTCTCTCTTTTTATGGGTTTTCTCCCTTGTGCCTAAGGCTTTCTTCTCTTGCTCTTTACCATTTTGAGCAACAGCAATGTGTCTCTGGGATATTCCTGTTAGTGGTTCTGTTAAATTGTTGTGTCACCCCGGCATCCTGGACAAATTTCCCATTGGCCCATACCAATCATGGCGTGCTATTAATCCCCATCTATGAATTGGCTTCATTACTCTGTTCTCCTCCCCACTGAGAGCTGGTGTGTGGAGAATGTTCTGGCGCACTATGGCTGCCGTCACATCATCCAGGTGGATGCTGCACATTGGTGGTGGTGGAGGGGAGACCCCATTACCTGTAAAGCGCTTTGAGTGGAGTGTCCAGAAAAGCGCTACTATATATAAGTGTAAGCAATTATTATTAATCTCTTTCAGGGTAACTCTCTGCTCTTCCTCCCAAACGTCCTCAAGGTGTACCTGGAAAATGGTCAGACTAAAGCATTCAAGTTCGAGGAGAAAACCACTGTGAAGGTACATCTTTCATTTAACCAGTAATAATGACTGGGTCTTACTGGACAATTGGCACCTCTGTTGGAAAGAGTGAAAGCAGTATCCCCTCAGCCTGTGAAAGGGGGGATAAATCAGTTACAATGCTTGACAATAGCTGAGGTTTCAAGGCACAGCAACTACACTTAACTACATCTCATAACGGTTTCACCATTTGGAAAAAGTGTTCAGTTTTAGTCATAACTAGATATGGAATGGATTAACGGATTAATCAGCCTTAAACATTATTCCTCAGCCTGAATGAGCAAAGACCCTTATAACAAATACAAATACATTTTTTCAGCTGTATCTGTACATGATGTAGAAATGTCTTATTATTAACTTTGAAGTTAAATGCGTATCATTTAAATCAATGGATGTTTATTAGAATTATATGACACATTAATAAATTGCATCATTTAGAATAAAATGTGTACAAACCTGGACGCCAGATTACAATGAAATGTATTGCCACTCAGAAAACAATCCAGAGAAGAGCAAGAGCACTGAGAGACTGAAGGAACTGAACCTTTTCAGTCTTGAACAGAGAAGACTGCGAGGAGACCCGATTCAGGTGCCAAAGTCCTCAAAGGCACTGAGAAAAAGTCAGCACAGTGGACATCTTCAGACCCAACACTGAAACACAGACAGGACACTAATGGAAACTGCGGGGAGGTGCATTTAAAAGTGAGAACGAGGCACATTTTTACACAAAGGGTGAGAGGGCTTGGGTCAAGTTACCAAGCCATGTTGTTGAAGGTGATACCCTGGGTTCTTTCAGTAAATAGCTGGCTGAGATCCTTGGATGAATTAGTTATTAGTAACCAAATGAACTAGATGGCTGTGATGGCCTCCTCTTGGGGTTTTTTTTTTAAGTCCACAGTGCTCGATAGGTCAGGAAAACTTACGCAAACGTACAGGTCCTTGATTTCAACCCCTTCTTAAAATGTCCCTTTTTGTTAAATTACATATTCTGGACACATATTTTTTTTAAAGTGAATATTTTTGACAGAACCTGAATGTACAATCTGAACACTTATGGGTTAAAGAAGTTAAATCTCAGGAAGAACTGCAAAAGAAAAATCAGAAACTAAAATATGTTGATTGCATAGGTTTTCACTCCCTTCCCAATGGTAAACCTACAGTAAATGAGTTCAGGGGGACACTATTTGGAAGGGGTTGAGTACATTTGCAGGCCACTATATACACCTTGTAATTCAATTTGTGACTCTTAGGTTACTGTTTAATTCACTTTAATTCTAGACACTTCATTGTAGTTGGCAGAGGTTTTGTTTGACTTGAGTACAACTACAGTGCAGTGAATGGGTTTCTCTGTGGACATTAGAAGCTGTGCTCTGTGTTTTCCCAGGACATTGTTCTGACTCTGAAAGAAAAGCTGTCTATTCGCTGCATTGAACACTTTGCTCTGGTGCTGGAAGAGCAGTACAACATAACCAAACTGTATCTACTGCACGATGATGAATTCATTGAGCAGGTAATGGTGACTGGACGCAGAAACCTGTAGGAGAACTATTCCTCTTTTTTTTTCTCATTTCAACTTGAATGTCTCTACTATATATTTAGAGATTATCTTCTGTGATTTCGTTGGATCTTGTAAAGCTTTAAATTAATCTTATTTGTCAAACAAACAATGGTGAGGCTCAGGTAATTTCCCGTGCATTTAAAACTTTCAAATTTAGTTTGTCATCTTTCCATATTTTTGTTTGTATTTACATGTAAAGTCACATTTTATTTAAAATATCTTCTATTAAAAAGTTTAGGTATTTTTCTAACATGGCAATTAGCACTATAAATCTTCGACTACAAAGCTGTCAGCAAAGAATGATATACATACGGTATATACTGATGCATAAAAGAAATGCAACATTCTAATGGAGTTAATTAAAATGCTTTAAAGAAGCATATCAAACAATTACTGAAAATAGGAACAAAAATACAGATTCACGAATTGCAATAAATTTCCCCTTTTTGAGCATGAGCATTGATGAGCAGTGCCTCTTCCTGTTTAGCTTCAAGTCAGTTCGTGAAAGCCATGGTTATTTCCTGTTGATGTTGTAATCTATTGTAATGAAGAAGCTGTACAGAGCAAGACCTCATTGTTGTGTTGAAGTAATGTCATTGTAATCCTAGAAGTGTGGTCTTGCATTGTCCTTCTGGAAAATCAGTCCTACTGGATTGGCTTGTAGGAACAGAATAAACGTTAGATCAAGCTCTTAATCGGTGTAATACTTAGCAGCAAGGTTTACCTACAGTGTTCACCAAAGACATTCTTGTATTCAGTGAGACTCCTTCTCCTATCAGGTCACTTCTACATCTCACCTGTTGACTGAACAGCACAGCAGTCAGTCCAATGCTCATCATGGCACCAGTCTTCTGTCAGGTCTGTCAAGGACAAACCAAACAAAACACTCCACCACTCTCTGCAGTTTCATTTCTTGGCTGTCAAAATGTTACCCCTGCCTGGGCAACAGAGTGTGAGTCATTTCTTTCTGGAATTTCTCGCGGTTGTAGCCACTGCAGTCTGAAAACAATTATTCAGATCAATAACATGGATGTTGCAGTCCAGGACCGATGTGGTCAACCACTGAAGCACAAGTTTATGTACTTTATCTGGTCTGTTAATCTCAGCAAGATTTCTCACAGGTTCCTTGCAACCAGGCAATGTTTATTATATAGAAGGGACATGGTTGTATCTTTTCACTTTCACTGCTCTTGTATGTATTAAAACCAAATGCAGTTGAAAGTCTGTTTATGCAGATTCGTAATTAACTAATTTTGGCAGCTTTAAAGGTGTTTAAAACATCTATGACCTTGTGTTTTTATGCAATCACAATACTTGTGCTTGATGTTTTATTATCCCAAGGAAAAACACTACTCAATCAACAAAACTGTCTGCTCATGATTTAAAATGTGACTATATTTAAATTGTTGCTTTTGTCTTTGTGCATCAGTATATAGAGAACATATGTGTAATGTATGACACATTCACAACTGACAAACTAGCACTTACATGCTTACTAGCACTTACTTTTTCCACATACAGTATGAAGAACCACTACAGTTAGGGGTTACCTGTATTCTGTGGCCTCATTTCTTTGGTTTTTTTTGGGGGGTGGCAAAAAAGTAACTTCAGCTACCATCCAGCTCCAGTCAGTTCAGTTATGGATTTGGATTTGGGGAATCTGTCCGTGTGGATTTTACATGGACATTTATCCAGATGTGCATTCGTTTGCTTTGGGTACTTTGGTTTACTCACACACACATGTAAACTAGGCTTGATTGACTACTTCAAAAAATGCCAGGCTTTCCTGACAAATACTTGGGAATCATACTGTGTGCATTCGGGTTACAGTTGTGGCCGTGGCTGTGGTAGGAGAAGGAGACTTTGTGTTGTGAAGTTGCTGCAGAATTGTAATTGCTAGGACTAGGTGACGTGAGAGCCAGTGAGGGGTGTGTCCTGACCTGCTGTGCCTGTTTGTCTAGGTGGTGCAGAAGAAGGAATCCCATCACTACAGGTGTCTCTTCAGAGTGTGTTTTGTGCCCAGGGATCCCCTAGACCTCCTACAGGAAGACCCCGTGGCCTTTGAGTATCTCTACCTACAGGTGTGGCACCCCACTACAAGTTTTCTCTGTCGATGTCCATTAGCTGATCTTTCTGTCACTAAATACAGCCTTGGTTTAAGCGTGTGACAGTCTTTATTAGGGGAAAGGGCTGCCAAAAGAGCCACACAATGTGGGAAGAGTTATTCACTAAGTTTTGTAAAGATTCTTTTTTAAAAAATGTACTTCTTTGCAGGTGAAATGCCTCAGTTACGTTTGAGCTTTTATCTAGGAATGTTCTTCCAAATGAGCGGCAATATACTGTGGTAATTTATAACACAGAATGTCAGTGTCCATGTCTTAAATTGTGTACGTCTCGATAATTTTACTGTCACTTGCTTTTCTCCAGATTTTTTTGCTCTTATCATTGCCTGATTAGCGCATATTGCACAATATGCCCTTAATGCACAGCTCCCGTTGGAGGGCTACTCCAATTGATGCTTCTTTGCCAGTTTATCCATTTAGCCAAATCCTAGGTCTTGCATTATTTAAACATAGACTGGGTGTTTCAATATTACAATTAAGGTTCTACTTGCCTTTAGGTAGTACAGGGAAGTGAACAGGAAACTCTGCATGTGGAGCAGATCTGACTTATGTCTTCCTTAATGCATATGCTGTTGTCTATACTTACTGCGTATTCTATGGTGTGTTCTTAATGTTTATTAACATTATTTGTGACGTTATTTCAGCCTTAACTACAGTTACATAACCTTTCACGTTCCTTCAAAGCTTTTGTTCTGAAGGCATCTTCTGAGAGCAGACGATCAGGTAGAATGAATGCAGTTCAGAAGTTATATACAGGCTACCAAGAACTGGAAAATGTTAGCGAATAAAAGCACAGACCATTGAAAATCGAATTTCACGTTTGTTTGCGACAAGACACCATGTTAGCACGCGTTTATTAAAAGAAGAGGGCGGCGCCGTGGTGTGTTGGTAGCGGTCCTTTCCGCACTGGGGTCTCCCGTGTGGAGTTTGCGTGTTCTCTTTGTGTCTGTGTGGGTTCTCTCCAGGTGTCCTGGTTACCTCACCCACAGCACTGACACACTGTCCAGGTTACTCGGTGCCTCTGTCTGCCCCCTTATGTGTGTGTGTTGAGTGAACTAGGTGCTTGGGGTTGGACTCCAGCTCCCCGTGACTCTCTATGGATGAAGCAATATAGAGAAAACGGATGGAATGGGAGTGAACGGGATTTCCCAGCCTTTCCGTATATAATCCTCCCAGGTGTAAGGGCAGTCCGAGGTGTCGCGGTGATGCTGTGCTGTCTCCACAGAGCTGCAGCGATGTCCTGCAAGAGCGCTTCGCCGTGGAGATGAAGTGCAACATGGCCCTGCGGCTGGCCGCGCTGCACATGCAGGAAAGGCTGCACTCCTGCGGCCAGCCCCAGAAACTCTCCCTCAAGTACATTGCGTGAGTGCCTGCAATACAGCACACACCCACACCTGCACTTCACACATCCGGCCAGAAGGTGTCTCCCTGGAGTCCCTTCCAAGTATTGCCCAGCAAAAGAGGAAAGGTGCTCAGATCAGAGGTACTGTAGCTGAAAGTTAGATAACAGGGAGAGTTGAAAGCACTGTGTTTTTTCTCTTGTTTAAGTTCCCTCATGTTTCTCTTTAGTCTTACAGAATAGAACAGAAAGAAGGTTTGTCTGTCTATGTGATAGAATGATAGATTTTCATAGCCTTTATAACTAGATGTTATAAAAAATAAAAAAAGTTCTATTATTTAATATAAAAGGATTTACTCAGTTCTCCAGTTGAAGTTTCCTTTCGTAAAGGACGATTTCTCACAGTGCTGTTATGTAAAGTGTGTGAGGAGGCTTCCTGAAAAAGTTTTGAGTTTCTTCGTTGAAGAAACATTAGACATAAAGCTGTTCAGAGACTTTAAAACTTGAATGGATTTGTGCAAATAGGATGCCCTCACAGAACGTTTTCTGTATATTGGATTGACAATCAACTCCTTCCAGCTATACCACTGATGCACAGTACTGTATGAGAATCGCATTCTCCAGCCTGAAGAGGAAAGAGACTTTCTGTGTGCTATATTTCATTTGGACAGGAAAGACTGGGGAATTGAAAACTTCATCTCTCCCACCCTGTTGCGGAATATGAGAGACAAGGACCTGAAGAAAGCCATCAGCTACCACATGAAGAAAACCCAAGCTTTGCTTGACCCAAGGCAGAAGGTGCAAATAACTAATAATTGTAGCGTCAATGCCTGGAACAGTGTGCACCAGTTTTTAATGTTTTGCCCTATAACATTTACCACATTTGGGTTCTGATTTTTTATGGAAGCTCTTCTTATCATGAATTGAAAATAGGCGTGAACATAGCGTGATGTTCATATTTGCAGAAATAGTTTTGCAATAAACCAGAAACAGTTTACAGTAAAGTGCAGGCAGAATGCAATATGTTTAACCCATTGAAAAGGCACCCGAATTACACTGAAGTCTTATGAATTTCTCTATGATTGGCAATAATGTATGGATTCCTATCCAGTATATACTGGCATAACATGTTTGGAAGTCATGTATTAATCATTTTGTATGTACAGTCTTAACAGAGAAGAAACTCTGAGAATAACTTTTTTTTTCACCATAACACTCCTGAACTACACTGTTTGAGGTTGTAGTTTAATGAACAAAAAAATGTAATAAGTGAGTTAAACCAATATCTACTGTATATTTCATTGCCACAACTTGAACAACAGCTACTGTGCTGTTCCAAAATGCCTTAAGCTGTATTTGCCACTTAAGTAACTCTGCTAATTCTTCAACTAGTTACTTTTTCTTTAATGTTTTGCCTCTTTAATACAAACATGGGGTTAGGCCACTCATCACATTGTTCATTGCACATTTCTTGGTAAGATGCACATCAGATGTATGAATAAGGATTTACACATCTTAACCAAATAAGTTTATTTAGAATGTTTTGTTTTTAAAGTCCATGTTTTTTTTCATCTTCAGCAACTCATTTCAGCTGTGCAGGCAAGATTGAGTTACTTGAAAATCCTAGGCGAGCTCAAATCATATGGAGGAAAAGCCTTCAGTGCCACTATGATGGTGAGTGAGTAAAAATACCGACAAAGCTTAAATATTTTTAATTGATGAATAGAATGTAATTTTATATGAAGTGTAAGGCAACTTAACTTTTTATAAAACAAGTAGATGTTTCTTAAGGCCGTGGTAGAAATGTTCTTAAATGTCTAGACCTATGTATAAAATAGAAAGATCACCCTGAAAATTACGGATCTTTTAGTATCAGATGGAGAACCAGGACAAAGAATGTGGTGTTTTCCTTTTGAGACATCCTCTGTTGTCTGTTTTGTAGAATTACATTCTCAAGTTTGTAGAATCATTGGATCTTCATAAAAAATTCAGTTTCATACTGCAAACAGAAAATGTCACACTAGTTTTCACACTAGAAAGCAGTGAGCAACTTGCTTGATTTAAGTTTTCATTCAGCGGCAGTTATGTAAATCTCACTGGACCCAGGTATACACAAGTGATCTGGTGAAGTTAGAGAGCACACCCGCTTTTTCTTGCAGTTCTCTTGTCTTTTTTTAAAAATCACATCAAAGAATCAGCACGAGAGGCACCCAGTGTCACTTTTTTGTCCAGCTGCAGGACAGAGAATCTGTGGTCACACTGCTAGTTGGTGCCAAATACGGTATCAGCCAAATCGTCAACCACAAGTTGAACATCACGACCACCCTGACAGAGTTCCTCAACATCAGCCGCGTGGAGTTGATCCCAGAGTCGGAGAAGGTTAGCCTGGTGAAAATTTACCTTCAGGACATAAAGGTACTGTCACCTCAGGGTTTCTTCCACGTGTTCACCCTTACTTGAAATTGCACAGGCAAAAATAAGGATGAAAAATATGGGAAGCTATTGAAGCCATCCTAAAGTTGTGTAGGAGGGCAGTAGGTTGTGTAGGAGGGCAGTAGACAAGATGGCAGATTGTGGCCTGACTACATTGCCCAATAGTCTGTGCTATTGGTCAGGTAACTGAGATTGGTTGGCTGACATTTTAAAACCAAATGCAGAGGCTTCCCAATGATCTGTGTCTGGGAACAGAGAAGACCCTCTGACATGCTCAAGAGCCAAAGAAAATTCAGTAAGAAGACTACGAAGAATAAGGCAAGGGACCTTTTGGTATAGTATACTGTATATAGAACTGTGCATGGAGATGTTTCATGCCAGTAAGCAGCTTAACTGCATAGCTCTGTTTAGCTGGGGAACTGAGGACATTCAGTGAAGTAAAGGCTCAAGAGGTATTATTTCATGGTTCATAAATCTCACCTCACTGTAAATAAAAGGGATTGATTTCACCTTTATTGTAGTCTCTGTGTGCTTCTGAAGACCCGTCTAACGAAAGGATCTTATTACCCCTGAATAATACAAAAATAATCAAAGTTAAATACATAGTCTGGATATTATTAACAAAATTAATTAATTCATGTAAATAAAATAGTTACACATCTGCCACTGGTAGCTGAAAATAAAAAATAAGGTACACAAGAATATTACCAGCTATTTCATGAAACCCAGTTTGATGATATTTACTAATATACAGCCTGGAAACATTATGAATGCACACAAAAACTGTTTTAGTGTGAACACCATTTTCCTCTTTGCAACAAACTGTTGATTTACTGAATCACTTCGACTTTCTAACAAATTAACAATCTCAGCCCTGTGAGCAGAATTAGTTTTTTTTTAATGCTTAGCTATAACAAGTCGTATTATCACTGTAGGGGTTTAAGAGATTGTGAATGAAAAGTATACCCTGTGTGCTGAAATGGTATTTTCTCATAAATAACAATTTCAAATAAAAATGATCAGTGAAATGAGCTTTCTCTGCAAACCTCTAATGTCAACTGGATCTCTGAAGAAAAGTGATGTCAAAAAAGTGCTTTTGACTGTAACAACATAAACATGCTTTTTTATCTCACAAGCTGTAGCTCGGAAGCTATTTTCAATGACACAACCTACTGTAGCACTAATGAAAGCTTGTTTTCATTTTTTTGTGCAGTTTGTAGGGGACCAACTTCACGGAGCTGTTGTCCCCTCACAGTGAGGGTACTGGGGTTAACCCTTTTATAGTCCTTCCTGCATGAAGAAACACAGACCAAAAGCTCTTTACGCTGTAAAGCCACCTACAGTTTATGACTTTGGAGCCATTTGTAATCATATTTATTTTCTTTATGATACTACTTTGGGATGTAATGGGAAATTAAACTAACTGTCAATAAAAGGACTGCTAGGCGGACAGCTAGAGATTATGGTACATCTTGTTTGTTTTTTTTTCCCTTCATTTCAGAAATTATTATATAGTGTTTCACACAGATATGCCTTTCAGTCATGCTGCCCTGCCCCTCACCCCTCTTGGAACAATGGGAAAACTCCAAAAACATAAACTCATGGAGTAGACATTTCCCTTACAGGACAAGATTTAAAGATTTAGAAAAACATAAAAACTACATGCTGTGAAAGAGACACATCCTGTTCTGTTTCAATTAGGCACTTTAAAATAAAAAGACCTTAGCGTTATTTTAGAAATGACAAATTAATAAATGCCACTCACAAAATTCAAAAGCATTGTAAATATCCGTGTTTGTATCCTACAATGCAACTTATAGTACGCGACCAACAAAGTTATTCAAATCGCTACTCAAAAATTACTTTTGTCTGGCCTCTTTTTTTATGTGTTTATTTGCTTTTAAATATGATATGATTTTAAGGCCACTGTGTATAATATATTTTTAATAATCAAAATCTAAATTCTATTTTCTAATTCCACAATTACTAATACTTCTGTGTACTGTATGTAATTTAAAATATTTTTAGTATTGTTTTATTCAACAGGGAAGAATGACAATATTAGTGTTAAGGAACAAGTAATAGGTTTATTCCATGCTTAAAAGAGAAGAAAGAAAACACAACGTTTCGGCTGTGAAGCCTTCTTCGGGTGTAAGGGTATTAATACCCTTACACCCGTATATAATATTATATAATATTAGTGTTATACAGTATTGTGTAAACACATGTAAACATTTACTACTTTACTGATGTGTTTGACAACCACACACATCTGCAGTATTAAGGATTCACAGTGCCACCTGGCAGTTTTAAAGATTAGTGCACTCCTGGATCAGAGTATTTGAAAAATGATAACGCTAGGACATGGTGCTGTCCAGGATACCACGGTGCGTACTGCACTATACCGACTGACAGCTTGTGCATTCGAGATGGCTGCATCTGTAGTTCAGCAGAATTGCTGGCTGAACTGGTGCAGTTAAATCACACACACTGTTACCCACATCACAACTCTACCAGAAGGTTGTCCTGCTGTATTAAAGAGCAGAGACTGGGCCACACGCCACAGCTTGTTCAAGTAGCTCAGAGGCCCAGCACTTTTTTTCTATGGGAAGTGGAACCTAATATTTTGACCAATGAGAATACAACTACCTTTCTTTGACCTTTCTTTCTGCTGCCCTCAGCCAATCACATTACTGCTGGAGTCCCATGCTGCCAAAGAGCTTGCCTGTCTCATCACTGGATACTACAAACTGTTTGTGGACTCAAGAGTTTCTGTGTTCTCATGGCCTGAAAACACCAAGACACACCGTGTCTCAGCTGAGGAAGGTAAGCATCCAAAGAAAGATTTTAAACTACAGTTTTACTGAATTTACCGCTTCAGACTCTGACCTGGCACTTGGAACTTACTTAACTTTCTCGACATAGCTAACGTTCCCATCCCAACGACACAATTGCTGCTGCCGCGGTTGACGTTTTAAAAGCTGTGTCATACTTTGAGTAGTAATTCACATGATCAATATTGGGGATATTTAATCTACAATAAAAAATAGAAGATAGTCTACACGGATCAATTTCCAAAATATTTTGCTTGAACGCAAAATTGACTCAATTTCTTTATGGAAATTGAGCTAGTTTAAGATTTCTAATAGAAAGGCAGATTGATTGTACTTTAGTTCACCACAACTGTTTTAAGTTTCAGAGTGATTAGCATCTTCTTGTGTCTACAGTAGCTTTCAGCAGATTAAGGCCAGGTTGCTGTGTAGGAAGAAGCTTTGAAAATCCCTGTTAATGTTTTTAGGCGACCCATCAGTGCTGAATACAGTTAAGACTCTTAGAAGTCAATACTTCAGGGAATTAGCAGTTATTTTGCCCTAGTCTTATATTTCACAACAAAATAAACAAAGTACTGGATTAAAAAAAGGACAGAACTGCAGACCATTAACCAATGGTAAAGGCAAAATAAGGCAGTTAAATACACTAAAATAAATTCTCTGTCTTTAAAAAGGTTTAACGTTAAACCTGAAATAAGTGGAATGAGAAAACGACAGTATGTTCATCCATCATACTGTGTTTTCATATTCTGTTTTTTGCCCACTATATCAATAAACAGCATTTTCTCTGTTGCCCAGTTCTGAGCGGCTTCAACCTCGCATCACGTATCTCTATAGCCCTCAAAATATCATACTTTGCTCTGAATTCATTATTTAAATCCTCAAATGCAAAATACATCGAGTAAATCTTAAATATCAGCTTATTTAAGTAATTTAAGCCCTAATGATGGACATGGTAAGTGAACACCCTTCATCCTTCATGCTCCAGGGTTTGAAAACCCAGAATTAAAATTCCCCGAAAGCAAAGCAGACTTAATTCAGCAGTGTCATGTGAAAAATCCCTTTTGTGTGCATTTTAGGTTATGTGTCCAGAGGTTGCAGCGACTCAGAAGAGTCCTCTGAAATAGACTCGGCCCAAGATGTTCTGGCTGACCTGCACTTCCCAAAGGACAGTGATGAGCTGGGAACAGCAGGTCAGAGGGAGCAGACAGTGGAGGCCCACGCACAGAAGGAGGAGCCTCAGCCAGAGTATCTGAAGGCCGAGGGAGAACAGTTCACCGATCGGAGCCGAAGGGACAGCGAGGAGAACACGGCCGAAAACAGCTTCTCCGAGGCCTCCGACTCCTGCCGATCGGAGAGCAGGGGCGACGCCAGGTTCAACGCCAGCTTCTCCAGTGACTCCATGGACGCCTTGGAGGAGGACGACCTTGAGGCCTGCTCATCCAGCCAGCCCCTGCTCCTGGAAGTCCATCACCCCTACCTGCTGGACGTGCCTGCGCAGCCTGGAGGGGAAGAGGGCGGCGGCAATGCCGAGAGCAGCCCTTGCATCGGCTCCCTCCAGCCGTCACGCGCGGCGGCGGACTCCCTTGTCGACCCCGCGCCGCTGCCCAGCCCCTCGGGGGCCAGCGAAGGGAGCGAGGCGGTCTTCGACTGCGTCTTCACGTTCGAGGAGGATGCCAGGCCGTACTACAACCTCTGCGCCAACGTCACCCCTGACAGCGCCCGGGACGAGCGCGTCCCTGCGTCTCCTTCTGCCTCTGCTCGGGGGGAGGATCAGCTGGGAGGCAGAGAGCAGGCGCCCATTCTTCAGCCCCCTCCCGGTTTTGGAGACACCAGTTCTGAGGATGAATTCTTCGACGCTCCAGAGAGGCTCACTCCCACCAGCGCTGTGACAGCAGGTCCGTGACACATTGCCTCCATCTGATCGTGTACTGTATACTCATCCTCCCCACTGTTCCCCGCAGGTTTTCGGAGTAATTCTCACAAGTGGGTTTTTAATGCTGCCGAATAATACTAGAATTCTTTCATTACTTCATATGTATTTTTGTTTTAAGATCTTAAAAATGTAAAATGTGTCTTACTCTTATGCTATGGATCTTATAATGACTAAATTTACTGAAAACAGATCAGGAAAAATGACATTTATTATTTTGGGCGATCTAAAACAACCTGTGTTTTTAAAATCAGCTTTTTTACGTTCAGTGTACAGATACAGACTGTTAATCACTGGTGACCGACATACCGTGATTCACTTTGTAGTCCTATGGGTTTAAACATTGGAACAAGAAGCTCTGCCGCTAAAAAGGACAAACTGCACGCTCCTCATTTTCACTTTTCCCTTCTTAACAGATAACGCTGCAGCGGGAAGCTCCTTGACACGAACATGGAGCGTGAGTGAGATTGAGGTCAACGTTGTGGAGAGGGAACAGGAACGGGAGGCTGCGCCCTTTAGCAAAAGATCCCGCAAGCGGCGTTCCTTTGTTGAAACGGACTACACCTCCCAGGTGTCCTTCCCTGGGCCTCAGGACGATGACCAGCTGTGCTGCTTCGAGAAGGAGCTACTGTCGCCTCACAGACACCCATCCCCCACTATCTCCTCCCTGCGCAACACCGAGGGGGAGCCCGCCCTCCTGGAGACAAAGACCCTCGTGGGCCGCCAGCCCCCGCCAGTGGCCCAGGGCAAGAAGCTGTCCTCAAACCTCATGGAGATGGAGCCGGACACCATGGAGACCAAATCGGTCACGGAATCCCTGATCATGGTGTCGCCCATCATGGCCATCCGCTGCAGGAGTGACCCCGAGGGCAAGGAGAGCTACAGGGCCGAGGACACTGGCTGCGACTCCAAGGGCGGGGAGAAGCCTTTGGTGCATCACATGTTCCTTGCTGAGGCCAATGGAGAGGCGAGACCCCTTGGCGTCACCTCCTGCGAGGGGCAAATCTTTGAAGATAACCGCCCAATGGAAGAAGGAAAAGGAGATGACCAAAATATAGACCCAAGAGCAGTCCCACCTGCTACAGAACAGGCTGCAGGATACAGCCCAGTTGGGAGTGGAGGGCTCACACTGGCCTTAGTAGGGTTTAGACCAATCCCACAACTGCTTTACACTCCCAGCACAGAAGATGACAATCAGCTCGAAGAAGAACCTACCAGTTTTACTGAAGAACTGTGCCAGGTGGCTCCAAGTCTGAAAACTTCTGCAGCCATTAGGAAAGGCATCTCTCTGAGCCACGAATGTCTTTGGCACGTTGAGTTGGAGAGGGCAAGTGGAGAGACGGGCATCAACCCCAGAGAACTGAGCCTCGGCTTCGGCAGCGTGACCAGTGTGGTGAGCCGGCTGTCCACGTCGACTCTAAGAGGCAAAATCCAAAGACTGCCTCGTTATCTATCAAGATCTCAGGAAGCCATCAGCAACACTGTGACTCTCACTAGGGGCAGCTCTGACGCAGTGGCACAGTCAGGAATTTGTGAAAACGGACAACTGCTCAATGACTTCTTTCATGACATTGGTGAAGCTGGAGCTGTCTGCCTTGCATCCCCTCTTACAGATCTGATTCAGGCAAGAACAGAGATACACAGCCCATTTACACATATGGGGAAAATGGAGGATCAGTCAGTACAGACCCACTATAGCCAAACAGAGGAAAGCCGGGGTGACATTTTAAGACCCTGCAGTTCTCAGCAGCCTAGTCCTTGCCCAGGAAACTTGGCATCAGATTGCATCTCAGGAACCTCTGAATGCATTTCTTTGAGAAATATACCAAAGAGCCCAGTGGAAGTATGTGGGTGCCAGACAGTATATGCAAACTGCTTCAGTGGGGCAGCAAACAGCTTTGACGATGAGCTGACCGTCTATGAGTTTTCCTGCCAGACACAGGGGCCTCTGACTGTGCCTCCCTCCTCCCGGGGGTTCTGTTCCCCCGAGCTCAGCCCCCTGCTTTCTCCCTTGGATAACGAGCTCAGCGTGGACTGCTACCTGTCCGACAGCCTGGGAGACACACTGAACCAACTGAGGAACAAGAGATATGAGCCACCATGGGGCTTCTGTCTGCTTCAAGAGGACATCTCCGAGCTACTCCAGGTCCTGCAGAAGAACCCCGAGAGCCGGGGCCAGCATCACAAAGAGACCTGCGCTGTGCAGTTCTCAGAGAACAAGCAGCTCCTCTACGCCGAGTCTCGGAAGCTGATGTCCAGCTGTCAGCAAGCGATCCGGGTGGGACAGAGCCCGGAAGAGATGCTCCTGGCTGTCTCGGACAGCTTCCAGACTCTGGTCCAGCTGGCCACCGTCTGCCTCTGGTTTACAAACTGCGTCCGATGTCAGAAACGGCACGCTGAGGTCCTGGCTAGCCTGCGGGAGATTGTCGGCACCTACGCAGAGTTTGTCCGGGCTGCAGAGAAGGCCTGTGGTCGGAAAAGCTGCCAAGACCTGGCCATCAAGCTACTAGCCCGACAGTGCACAGCCCTCACCGCCAGGGTCTTCTGCCTGACCCAGCTGTTCAGGACACTGACTGCTCTCTGATCTCGCGCTGGAGCCGGTCCAGCTGGGCCGAAAGCACAGGATGGGTTTCTTTTTGTTCTGCCAGGACTACTCAGTGACTTCTGCTTATAACCATGTCTGATCACACAAGATTAGGAAAAGAAAAAACAAAATAACATGTTCCTTTATTGCTCAGTCTCATTTTAGAGTTCAAATGAGATTTGCTTGGACTATATATGTATTAATTTATGTATTTATAAAAGTATTTATTTACTCTGGTGCTCCGTCGTTCCTGGAACTGCAGGATGATGGAGATGTTGACAGTCAGAAGGAGCCAAAAAGCTCTCTGCTCAGTCAACAAAAATTCCTTACTCAGCCCTCTACCTCTTCTGTCAGACTGAGTGCGCAGTGTAAAGCTGAAACAGCCAGAAGTCAATCTGTTTCATGTGTCATGAGCCGTATGTGTGTTGGAAACAGTCCTTGAATTGAGGTGTGAGACATGAGGTGGAAGCGAATGCTCTTCCCTTTGTTCAAGTTGTAAAATAGATGAGTTCTTCTTGTTAAAAGAAGTACAAAGCTACCACCCCCCCATTAAACAAAACAGTTCCCCAGAGGGAAGAAATATCCTACTTCTTTTTCTCCTTCCAATGCAGAAGATTCATTCAAGGCCCTGTCACAGACTGTACCCCACCCTTATATGATGATTCCTTCAAGGCCAAATACTTCATGAGGGAACCCCACCCCTCCTCCTAGGTAGATATTAGTAATCCCCCCCATCTGGTACACGAGTTGTAAAGGTCTAAAAAAGTATTATTATTCCTCATCAAAACAAAGCACTGGCCTGGAAGAAAGAGGTATTCCCATGAAATGTAGTAGCCATGAGGAAAAAATGTTGTTTTTAAAAGGGGAATGATATCTTATCAGTAGTGTTGACACCTGCTCTCCCTTAATTCAAGCACTGTTTTCTCCACTAAACCCAGTGCTGGCCCCCTTCTTACAGATATACAGTATATCTCGATCACTGCCTAGAAGGTTTGTAGCATTGAGAAGATGAATATTGTTTTTGAAATTATAGATGACACGAGCACGGTGGAGGTTTCACAGACAGGCTTCAGTTTTACAAAAGATTTGGATTGGATGGGCCGCCCTTGTTGCGTTGTGGGATTTGGGTGTCCGTGTTTTTTATATTTTTAGCACAAGCCAAAGAACGAAGAACAGATCACTTGTAGCACATGAAATCGATATAAGATGCAGTTTTCCTTTGCCCATGATGTCCAGTAGTTTTTTTAAAACCCTGTCAATACAGTACATGTGGAGAGGAAGAGTCCAATAAAACATGGTTAAACGCTGGAACAGCGTTTCAGCTGTCACAGCAGAGCTCTGGCTAGTTAACACAATTATCAAATAATAACTCCTCTATCTCTCTCCTCTTCTCTTGTAACTCAGTTCTAATCATTGTGACTAGCCTCAGGATGTTTGGTAATTTCTAAACTGAAAAATCATTATTTGGGAAACAGTGACGAAATGATGACCCATTTTTGTCGTTTTTGAGGGGTACAAATAATATCCACACATCATCAAAAAAACAGCTGTGTTGTACAGTATATCTCCATCCAGTTAACCACTAAGACGTTTTGTTGTGTAGAAACATTGATTAAGGCTGAGGGAAGTTTTAAGTTTGTAGAACTGCATATTTTACTGTGGTACTTAGAAGACGCTAGGGACTTGGTTGCAGTTGCTCACTTCAGCTTAGTAAAATTAATTGCCCTTTTCTTTTATAAATATGTGTCATTTGATATCCAAAAACATATATTTCTGGTAAGACACTTTCAAATAATACTTAAATTCAGTCAAGACGATAGCATTTGACTTACAGTAGAAATCTTAAAACAGCTTGTAGTTTTGAGGTATTTTGAGGTTAAAAGAATCTTGGAGAATGTCAAGACTACAGATTCCAGTGAGCTTTCCTCTTTCATGTTAATGCTATCAGCCCTTCATCCTTCTCCCCTGATTAATCCTTTCTGGTAAAAATACACTCCTGACAAATATACTTCCATAAAAGCAGTTGTGTCTTCCAGGTCTGGTTTCGCTGTCCTTCTTTAAAGTGTTACAAGTGTAAGCTCACCTACGCTTGATTGAAACTTCAAGATACATAAAGATTTAATCCACGTGGTGTGTTATTACAAGGGGGTTGTGAATGGTGGAGGCCGGGAGTAGAATTTCCTGAGGGCCAGAAGTCCTTATCCACGCCATACTAAGTGAAATGAGTAGACGTTACTACATTTCTTTGCACTAAGGCTAATTTGTGAGTTCTGTTGTGATGCTCCAGTAATTTCTTAATCAGACTAAAACACCATACAAAAGCCTGAAATGTATTGCGTGGTCTGCAGTAATGTGATTGAGCAATGCTCCCGATGTATTTAGCATGGTGACAAGAAGTAATCAGCTAGCTTGGATGATATTCTCTATTGATAGTTTTATGAGAGACTCTGTCCTGCTCAGCTACTGCATACTGTGTTGTTTAGACAGTTAAAACTACATTATCAAACAATTGCGTGTACATTTAATCTCCAAAGCCATATGATGTGAATGCCTCATTTGAATAACATGTAATTGACAATCTCCAAACTTTCTTATACTTGAAACAATAAACATATTTGAAAGAATATGTGAAGTGCTTGTGTTTAAATAAACTCTGAGTTACAGAATGAGGAAGACAAAACACATCGTGTTTCTGTGTCACTGTAGCTCTTTATCCATGTATCTATGAAATCACTTTATTAACTGTGAAAATCAAAATAATTAGGCAACAACACTCGTTAGACAGGCCGCGGCTGCGCGCGTTGAACAGGGAAAACCGTGACTTCAGAGGCACCACTCCGATAACTTCGATAGGCAAAACATGAAGCATGCACTTCTTAACCAGCTTACCATTGTTTCTGATATTGATAATTAGATCCTGATATGTGATCGATTTACCACGAAGAGAGAGTCTGAAAGGACTTTTTCCCCTTCTCCTGAGGTCCAGAGGGTAACAATTCAGGTTACCACGCCTGACTCAGGGCAGTTTTGAAACTCACAGAGTAATCTGAAAGCACGTACTGTAAAAAAAACTCCCTCCAGCTCAAAACTGTGATTATTAATTTTGAAGGATGCGAAGCACTTCTTTATTGTATACGGGAGGGGTAATGTTATTTCATGTAACTATACTTTGATAACAATGTCCTTTATGAATCTTCGTCTGTCACACTGAGAGTTACTGGTTCTTTAACCAGCGGGGAGGATATTTCCTGTGAGCTAAATTTAGTCCAGGAAATTACAGCCTTGATGGGCGGTGATCTTTAAGTTTTTTCCCCTTCTTTCGCATTCAACACGCAAGTATTTACATGAAGATAAATCGCGTTTTGCACTTTTTATTAAAGTGCAATAGGCTTCTCTGAATTTACTAAACTCGGGACTGAAGGTAATTTCTTTCCTTTTCCAACATGCGAGTTCAATTTTGATCGGTTAATGTTACCTACTGTACTTACCCTTCTCTGTTTTTCGGTGTTTCGCTTGCCTGTTGCCTTTAGCCTATAACATTCCTGATGCTATTATTGATAATTATATTAGCCAATATAATTGCATATTGTGGGTGATTTAGGAATTTATTTCCTTTGCTCGGCTTTTAGAAATGTGAACATCCGTTCGCATGTGGATATTCTATTAGGCGTGATTTTACTTTCGGTAGTTGTTCAAAGGGTAATTTAAAAAAGTTCAAAACTTAATGCGGCGATGGTCATAGATATGTAGTGATATCAATATGTCAATATACAATATAGTATTGTATAGGGACCTGTTATAGAAAAACACAATTTGCCCTAAATGTAAGTTTGTTGTAGTTCTGTTGTTCTTCAGCTTTAGACGTTTATTCTTATTTAACGATCAGTCATGCCAGAAAGCTGTTTTTCTTTAAGCGTGTGAAATGACTTCTGAGAACTGTTGCTGTTGTTATGGTTCAGTTTTAAAAAATAGTATTAATATTCCACTGTTATAGTTTGAACATTGTATTACAAAATATGGCCACTGGTTCTGGGGTATTATTTAAATATACATGGTCCTAAATTGTTAAAATCCTGCTCTATTACAGTTTTGTTAATAAGTTATTTTTGTGCTAAATGCATCATCTATAAATTATTACTGGTGGTCTCATGCTCCCATTTAATGCCTAAATGCAATTACATTTCTTGCAAATGGGACTGGTGTTAGCCTTAACTAGAAGATTTGTAATACCTTAAATCCTGTATTCCGCACTTAAAAAAATATTTTCCTTTAACTTACAGTATGTATGACCTTCCTTTGACCAGGAATTTCTCTGGTTGCTCTTATGCACACTTTCCAGGACGGGTGAAAAAAGACTTCACAGCTCAAGGGGATTAAAACCTCTAGTGCAATACAAAATGTTAGTTTCTGCAGGGTCTCTAAATTGTGGCTGGTAATTCAGCCTGGTCAAAAAAAGTTACTATTATTGAATTGTAACGAAAACTAAAGAGGAGCACAGACCTTTTCCAAAAAGGACTCAAAATGAAACAAGTAACAATAAAAAAACAGGAAATAGGAAAGCAGGTTTCTCTGAATTTACCCAACTCTGGAATAAATGAATTCATCTTTGATTTCCAACATCTAGAAATTACTCTTTTGTAATGTCTGTGTTTTAATGTGTTTAACTTTGGATGTTTTAATGTTTTTAACTTTTTTTTAAAAAGAAAACCTCCTTCTAAGGTGCAGCTCATTCAAATAACAGTCCTTTCGCCTTTTCCTCAAGCACTTCCTGCTGGACATTGTAACAGCGGTCAGTGGCTCTGACTCCGTGCCACATTTTGTGACGAGATAGCTCCCAACTTGAACTTCAACCAGGTATGGTGCCTGTCGAGCAGCTGGAGTCTCCAGCACACCTCAGACACAAATAGCAATAAGACACAAGTCCTGGTCTTGAGATCCCTTTGGGTCACAACTCACAGCACTTCCAATACTAACACTATAGCACTGCGTTAAACATTACACCACCTGTCAAAACTACCTTTTTAGTGTTTGAGTGCAATAGAATGCAATTTATAATACACCCTTAATACTCTAGGAAACTAGGTGACACCAGGCATGTGCACCTGCAGTAGGTTACTAACAAAACAAGTGGGACTAAGTGGTACCAGCAGTACCCACAAGATTTTATTGTGCCGTAGAACCAGCTCCGATAGCAATGATCACCCCTGGTTCCAGGCGGTTGCAAATCTGCCATTTCTATACAAAACTCTGGTCAGGCTCCCCTTGCATAGCACTTTGACCAATTTGAAGTTTTAAAAGCTGAAAGGTCACATCCTCATCAAGCAGAAAACCAGTATAAATTGGTAAGCCTCAGCATCTTAAAATGAAAATAAAAGTGGGAAGTATCCGGCACCTTTGACGCAGGTTATGCAGCTTGTAAAAGGTGAACCAAATTGCTCTGCGGTGTGAGTCTTATCGCTTCCTTAAGTATACGGACCAGTATTCACGTCAACACTGGCGTGTGAGTGAGACCTCAGAGTGTAATTTTCATTTCTTAAATCATTTCTTTTGATTGAAAGTATTGGACACTGAAAGAGGCGACAGGGCTCCAGTGTTAGCCGTTCAGAAGGGAGAAGTTTAGATACTTGGAAACAAGCTCTGGCGCT